GTTCTCGCGCTTGGAATTGCAGCACGCGACGCAGTACCATTTTTAGAAAGTCGGCTAAGGAGGCGCGGTACCCGAGATTTCGTCCTTTTAAAGGCCGGTTATGCGAATGCAGTGTGCGCCTCTTTAAATTGCATAATGAGGGATCGGCTTCACTTTTTTCTTTTTTTTCGCGCGGTATCGCAACTCCGATCCATAATTTTCGGTCGGGGAAATCGATGCGAGGTTCCTCGATGCCCGTCGACGATAGGCGACACTGATGATCGCTACATCGACGTCGGACTTAATAAATGATCGTTAATGCTCGCGATTTTATCGTGAGATTTGCATATTCGTTAAAAACCTGCGCGCGAAGAGTCACGGAAATCGACGCGCTAGCGGTGGAAGCGATTACGCGAATGTTTGAGCGCTCGCGGTTTCTTCGCGGAGTTTACGACTCCCGCTCGCGACTTTAACCGATAATGATGAGGAAAAAAGGTGATTTGAAATCGACGAAACGTCTGTCGTGGAAATCGCGGTGAACGTTTTCACGTCCACGTACATGCTCTACGTTTATGTTAATTTCGCAAATAGCTCGCGGTGTTGGCGATGTTGTCGTGGGATTTGCGAACTTGTTTCGCGGGTCGCAACTTCGACCCGCAATAATAAAGCATACCGCTTTCAATCACGCTTTTACCGTTCGTTACAAATTGCACTTGATCACGCGCATGCCTCGCGCCGTGGCGAGCAAGTGAGCGCGTCAGGATCAAGACTTTCGATCTTGTCTCGATCGAGGGCAATCGGCGCCGCGGAGAGGCGGCCAGATGCCGGTTGCGGGCGAAAAAAAGAAAGAAGAAGCGAAAGAGACGAGCGAAAGGGAGAGAGAGAGAGAGACACTCTTCGCGGGGTTGGCGCAAAAAAGGCAAAGACGAGTCCTTATAAGGACGAGCGTCCTTAACCCGCTTACTCGCGGTGCCTTAAAGACGCGGCCATCGCGCGAAACGATTGAACCGCCGGTAACGGCAAGTCCAACGCCTTTTACGGTCGTCGTCCCGCATTCAGCGTTCGTCGCCGTGGCGCCCGAAAGAAAATTCTGACGAAACCTCCCGGGACGCCGTAAAAAAGATCCGGCGATGTCCTATAATAGAAAATACCAGGCGAGGCGTGCGCGCGTGTTGTAAGCCGAACGCGAGTGACGCATCATCGTTTGATCGGCCGTAGATGATTCACGAAGATGTAGCGCAGCTTTGATAGCCGATTCGTGAGGTCACTGCGAATACATCCCGAGTCTGAGTAATCATGTGGCGTATAAAAAGTATCGATTGAAATTCGCCACAAATGAGGAATCCTTTCTTGTGACAGACAGCTTTTAAGATTGGCGCAAAAGGTTTGTGCAAAGCTTCTCCGTGAAGATCTGCTTTAAAAAAAAAGTTATCGATTCGCATTCCGAAAACTCGAAGTTTTTAAATTGGATTTTTATTTTGTTTGTCGACAAGCCTTTTGCGCCAGCATGATATTTCACGTTTTTTAAGACGGCACGCAATTTCTGAGTTGTATTTGTTTAATTTAACGGGAACGCTTTTTCAAGAATACTTTCGCTTTGGAATCTTCTAAAAATAGCAGCTTTCTGCCGAGTCACTGTCGATTTATCTCACAGTATCGCGCTTCGCGGACTCACTTTTATCGACAACGTGCCCGCATTCGGGGATTAGCGTATTCTCGCGAGCGAAGGACGTCGGCCGCAACGCGCATTGCGATCTCGCGATTTGCTTAGAAGGCTCCTGTCACGTCGCGTCGGCGAGGTATAAACAGGAATGTTGGGCGAGGGTCGATGACACCCGAGAGGGACCGCGGGACCGGTTTTCGAGGACCTCCGAGCACAGTCCTGCGTGGAAAAAGGAGGACAAAGGTGTTTCCGTTTCGTGTTCGCGGTTCGCAACGAAATTTCGTGAAAAGCGCCGCGTCAGCGAGCCGACTAGTCTACACGACATTACGATGAATCGTTTAAACTCTTTTCCGCCACGGCTAACGGTGTCAAGGAAGGAGATTATTTCCAGGACGCGGGAAATCGTTTCCAGTTAAGATTCCTCAAATTGTTTACTTCTCGATGATGCGCGCAAATAAGCAGAAATGCGAGCGTTAAATCAACAGGAAGTTCAATAGTTTCTTGAATTCTTTTTAACTCTTATCATTTTCTGCCAAACGCACTGTACTTTTATGACTATTTGTATAATTTATAAAAATTTTGCAGAAATATTGAAGGAATCGTAAAATATTTGTTCTTTAAATCGACGCTTTTAAACCGTGTCGTTTTGTAAAGTGTTGATGCATTAAAATTGATATAAAAGAAAAGAGAAGGCGAAAATACGGCAAAAAAGAATTCACCGCGGGCTTAATCGATGCACTTGAATTCACCCGACACGATTTATCAATCGGGTTGTATTCTACAAAAGACTGGAGCAATGAGACACGCCGACAAATTTATAAAGGAAACAATGCGCTTTGTCGCAAGATGAACGGCCGTTTCCGCCAAAACATCGGTTCGAGCTAACTCTTATCCCGCGCCTCTCCGCCATCTCTCTTGCCGCGGACGGAATTAGACGGCGGGGAAATAAGTTAAACGTCGGCTCGACTGCGAGCCGATGTTCAGCCAGTTCCATAATGGGAAAAGTTACGAAAGTACACGATAAATTAACGTGGAAATCGCGCGGAGACTAAATAAACCCGTCGCCGGTTCCGGGTGGCTTCTTCCACGAAGGATGACGCGCGGGTGGCGTCCGAGAGAGCGAGATCCGGCGAAAGCGAGCGCGCGCGTGAATCACTCGCCGCAGGACAACGATCGCCGATGATTCGGTATGAAGAAGAAACGCGCGACATCGAGATGACCTCGAAAGAAATGTCCGGCGAATCGGCCGGGCGTGAAAAACGCCGTCGAGGCTCGGCGCGACGGCGGCCGACGAGCAATCGCGCGGCGGATCCCTTAATGATGACGTGAATAATTCGAGCGGACCCGCGCAATTAAGCGCGTCATCGTCTCGCGCCAGCGTTTAATGGAAGGCGGATAGTGAGGAGCGTTTATTAACACCTACGCCCGCCTGTCTCTCATCCCGCCGAGCACCGACGGTATCGCTTGCAACTGTTGCAACGATATCAATGCGCTGGGCGTTTACGGCGTAAACAACGATAATTCATCGTCTACGCGCGGGCGGCGCGGATTATCTTTCCGCGGAAAATGCGTGCACGCGCGGCGTCGATCGCTCATCACGGCGGATTCTTTGATTCGCGAGCGGCTCGGCGGGTCTCTTCGCGCGTCGGCAATTATGTAATGAAATAAAGAGAACACGCTGTATACAATTTGCATCGCTTACAGGCCGTGTAAAGGAGAGCGTATATAAACGTCGCAATTAGCGCCTAATGCATAAGCGAATGAAGCATGTAAATATCATTTTACGGTCTGCAGTTTACAACCCTGAACGGTTATTCGCGTGCGCTCGCGCTGATAAAAGGTTAAATAACTCTGCTCCGTTTCGATATCGCGCGCGAGAGAGATTAAACATCCCTTCGTTAGAAGTCTATCGCGCTATGCGGGACGTTTGTTCTGCGGCGACGCAGAAACATTATTATGATAAAACACTTTTCCTTCGACAAGGTGACTTAACAAGTCCATTTGCGATAAGAACGGAAGCGTTTTGCGCTATTTAGATATTTATTTTCGTGCCTTGTGAATTGATATATCTGGATACGATCGCGCTTTAATCGGCGCGTAATTAAACTAAGTGTATTTTTTTTTTATCCGACTGACAGTGCATCCGGCGGATAAGATTTTATCTTATCGGCAAACTGTGACAGAGTCTCGAAAACAATAATAAGCGTTTTACAAATAATTAATCTCAAAGTCCACAGAGAGTCTACGGTAACAATGACATTGTTCCGCGTAATTCTTGAGGAGCTTATCTGGCAGGAGGAAACGTGTGATAGAATGCACATACGTGACTCAGGTTCGTTTGAAAGAAAATTCTTTATCTTAAAATATTTGTACGTTTTTATAATTTATGTATCGGCAAGTTTAAAAGGTCTCGCGCAATCAATATGTAAATATGCACACATTCCTCGTTTCGCTCACTCACTGAGAACGTGATGGAATTGTCTGATAGCCGGAAAATCCTGCAGGCTAGAAATAATAGAAGCGCAATTATCGATAGTTTTTTTCGGCGAAGGGAAACCGATATTCTTTATTCATTCATCGGAGAAAATGTATAAACTTTTTTTTCGTTCATTCTTTCGAATTCACTCTTCTCGCTTGAATTCGGTTCCGCTCGTTTCGCAAGGATAGCAGCGAGAGTCAAGGCTCTCGGTTTCAGGACCACCGGTCGTACGGCCGACGTTGGCCAGCATGCACATGCGTATCGGCGGGCGGAGAAAACGTGCCAACGTGCGAGAGAACGAACGGCCGAGCGAGAAAGGGAGAGCGCGCGCGCGCGCGCGCGCGCGGAGGTAGAAGAACGCCGGAGAAGGCCGAAGTAGAAGTGTGCGCCGATCTCTTTCTCTCACTCCCGCTCTCTGCCTCACTCGCGAGCCGGGCACGGCATAGCGAACGTGACGTCATTGATCGGACATTCCATCGAGCTTTACGGCACGCTCGTGCCTCCTTCTCGCACTTATTGCGGGAGAATTTCTGGAATGCTCATCGGTGTCAGCGGAAAACAATGCTCCCCGAAACAATTGGGTCACGCGAGGAATCGAGCGCTTTCGCTTTTAGCCGGCGAAGAAAACGCCGCGGAAAGACGGCGGAAGCGCGAAATCGCGAGGATCGATAATCGATCGCCGGGATTTAGCCGGGCGCTTCCGCTTTTATTTATAGAGGAAAATGCGAATAGAAAAATGGATGGAGACACGGGGTCAATAATTAATGGATTTCGCTTTGGTTTGTTGAAAGAAATGCTTCGATAAGAAGCATAGTTTATGTAAACACCGATAAGACGAAGCGTCTCTGACATCGAAATAATCGAAACTGCTTGTTACAGACGTACTCTGGCCTCTTCTGCGTCGTAGTAAACCCCTACAAGAGACTGCCGATATACACAGAGAAAATCATGGAAAGGTACAAAGGCATTAAGAGACACGAAGTGCCGCCACACGTTTTTGCCATTACCGATACGGCTTATCGTTCCATGCTGCAAGGTAACGGCATAATCAGAAATTTCTACCAACTTCCTATTCCTTGCGCGAAATCAGTTCTCGGCTCGACACGTCGAAATCTACACTCAAAAAAATAATCTTGCAATAATAGCTAAAATTTTCTAGGTGTAAAAAATTAACTAAAATAGATAAATGATTAGCAACTGTTGTGATATTGCATATGTAATTACTTAATCAGTTTAGATGACAGAAACAGAATATATATCTGTATTGTTTGTGAACTTTAAAAAGAAAGTTTCTCTAAAGCGCCTGTCTATATAAGATCAATCACGTGTTAGATCATGCAATGAATAACATTTAGCAATGGTACCTAAATTTTTCAGAAGCTATTGCTAGAACATTACTGCTATAAATTCTGTATGTGACAAACAATGTTTTCACAGATACGAAAAATAGCGATACATTCTTGTTGCGATATCTAGAAATCTAACTACATCAGCGAAATATTTTTTTGAGTGTAACATTCGGGAAGAAATTGTTAAGTCAACGAAATATATTTTTTATTTTCCTGAAAATTACAGTAACAAAAATATTTCTCGATTCTTACGCAGAATTAAATTCTTAATTATTTCAGTTTTGCACGATGAGAAGTTACAATTGCTGAGTAGCAATTTTGCACGATTCTTTCGAAATCGTTAGTGATATTTTTCAAAATTTCACTTTGTACATTAATTATTTTTAACTTGACACTCTGCGTGCAGTATGCATTATTTTTCAAATAAAATAGTTTTGTAAGATTTACGTTCTAGAGAATTTGTATGGATTCTATTAGAGAGAGAGTTGAATATTATATATATGTTTTATTAATAGAGTTTAATAGAATTTTTCATGATATTTATACCACCATTTTGTATTTTAGATCGCGAGGACCAGTCAATTTTGTGTACCGGCGAGTCCGGCGCCGGCAAGACCGAGAACACGAAGAAAGTGATTCAATATTTGGCCTATGTGGCCGCATCGAAACCGAAATCCAACGCGGTAAGTCAATGCGCTCGTCGATTAGCGGCGGCGGCGGCGGTTTCCGTCGCGCGGCGAATTCATTGTATTTCACGCACGCGTTCGTTCGACGAAGACACGCGCGCGCAATGAATTAAACCGCCGTGGTTTATACGAGCCATTTAACCTCTCGATACTCCACAAGAAATCTCGTTCCCGTAAATACGAGCACGCTGTTTCTCGAGAGTTTCCTCAGAAGCACGCAAGTGATCTTCATCTCCGGAAATTAGATCAATTAGAAAACGGAGAATCTTTGCGATATACGTATCATATTTTGAATGCAACAATATTCGAATTATAGATTTCGCACTATATATTACACTTGCAATATCTAAAAAAAATGGAAGAAAAATTTTTTAATACTGTCAAAATTTTCACTAAGCATAATAAAAAAAAAGGAGCAATATAACAATTACGACGAGACGATTGTTATAATTTTAAGCGGTCAAATTTGCAGCAAATGATATCTTTTAACTTAATTGCTTGAACGAATACCATTCTATACCATGTATTGGCTCTTCCTCTATTTTTTCCGGTTAATGATAGTAATTGCATGTAACGGTTACGGCTGACAGGTTACCTCACGCAATTATATTTACGCATAGATAGACATCTGTTCGCAATTACGTTGCCAAGGTTAATGACCAAGGCGACAATATCAACAAGAGACCATTCTGCAAACGATACACTACTCGGTAAAATAGCTTTTAACGCAAGGGCGTGTGGGAGTGATTGTGATTTTGCGCGATCACAATGTTCGGCCGTGAAACGCGTTTAGCCAATTATTCGGTGCGTTTTTTTTTTTTTATTTTGTTTCTTCCCGGCGGACGCGCCGCGAAACGTGCTTATCTGTGCTAGATTTCAACTGAAACGCAGGAAGAACTATCAGATTACGCGCGGGTTAACGACTGATGATCGCGTTAGAAGGCATTTTCAACGCAACAAATAATAACGAATGGAAAAAAGGATACTTGATGCCTTTTGATTTTCGAAATTTCGAACGTTATCTAACGTAACGATGTTTTTTATTTTTTATTTAACTAAGTTTTCGAAAATATGACTTGTCAGTTATTTTAAATATTTTGGGCGGACGCGAAGAATCGTCGGTGAATTGCTCGAGTCCACTTCAATGCAGGATTACAAAGCTTTAACGCTGCAAAGAGCTCCGAGCCGGATAATCACACTTAGTCCTTAATGCGCGATAAGAATCCGAACCATCAGCACTAAAAGCGTGAAAATCTCGTGTAATCGACTTAGTGTTCACCGCGATCGCGTCAGCCTTTCCGAAGCTCGGAAAATCTCGTCTACCATTGTCGTTCACCGGAAATGTAACCTCAATATCCGCATTGTGACATCCTGGTTGCATTATCATGCGGTATCACGAATTTTTTATTAATGAATTTTTTCTTAATCTCGGAGAGAGTCTTCTGCGAAGTTCATTAGAATGCTTTACGTCATCGTTTTCGAACAGATTTCACATTTGGTCATCGTTAGTTTAGATAATTGGTTAAAAAATAGCGCATATTTTCATTTTTAAAAAAGATATAAAATTTGCAATTAACAAGTTTCAGCATTACGCCGTGCTTATCTCAACAATTTTATACAGTTTTCGCTCCTTTCGCAAGTAATGAGATAATATTTTTTCAAGAGTGACGTAAGAATTGCGAAAGAGCTCGAGAACTTTTTAAATATTTATTGAAGAACGAGCGCGAAATTTGTTTGAGAGCCTCTGTCATACAGGTTCGTGTACAGTGGCTTCTTTGTTCTCGCGCGTTTCGCCGGGATACTTGAAGGGTATAATACGAACCATCGCGCGCAACGTTATTAATAAATCGAGAAAGATGCAAAAGGCGTGTTGTTTTTACGGATCGCAAATTACGCCGAGGTATGGGCGAAAAAAAGAAAAATGGCGAGTGAAAAAAACTGTAGGTATAGCCTTCAGCCGGTAGCGTCCCACATTTCTCAGGCTTGTCTGCCTCGCGCTGTAACTGCCTTTATAAATTTTGTAAATCACACGGCTATTTTTGGCGTTTACATGAATCAGATAAAAATTTTAGAAAGAAATAACGGCGACCGTATGCTGAACGTAAACAATGTAATTTAGTCTCAAGCAGGCATTTTAAAGAGACGGGCTCGCGTTAGTGAAATGATAGCGCGCGCTGCGTAAAGTGGTACAGCAGAGGACTCACTCAGAAAAAAACATTAGCGTAATATTTTACGCTCATGATGTCGGATTAATCATCCGGAAAACAGCAGAGAGAGAAGAAGTCTAGTTGTCTTTTTTAAATTAAACTTCTTTGTAATTGTTAACGATCGAAATTTTTGAAGACATATCGAAAGTCTCACGAATAAGAAACTTGATAAAAAAATTAAGTTTAAATTTTGTAATTTAATAGAAAAATTATTGTTTATCAAACATTTTTTTTGTTAAATATTTGAATTAAGAATGATTATCGATTCTCAGGCTCGAGGCGGCTGAAAATATAGCTGCTAGCGTAAAAAGTAATTGAGAGGAGACCTTTACTCCTTTCGAAGATCCACGTGAATCGCGCCTCCTCCTTCCACTTAATCGAAGGTCACCGCAGGAGAGCCTTAACACATTTTCGATTACCATAAGTCGCGTTACGACTCAAACGGCGAGCGCTTGTTTATACGTCGATTAAGCCCAATCGATCTATATTGCGTCGCGCAAACGTTGCCCGCGATAGCGCGAGAAGGAGAAAGACAGAGCCGGAGACTCGTGCTCTCCGAAGGATCCTCTCCTTTTCCAGACAAGCGATCCACTTATCGGACCGAGTCTCTTTCTGATTCTCTTGAGTCACGCGAGTCGACTTGCCCGCGCGTGACTCATCCCACGAGCGCAGAATCTAAGCACATCTGCTTATCGTAGAAAAAGAAAAAAAGAGTACAAAAAGCATTAGATGTCCGTCGCGTTTTTCTTCCCGTAGATTTCGGAACAAGTTTGGTAGAATTTTTCGTTCGGTGAACATCAATACTTTTAATTTCGATGAATTTATATTATCTTTCTTTAATATTTGATTATTTTTTTTAGTTCAAATGTTTCACGAAGATAACCGCGATAGTTCCGGAATACAATGGCGCGTTGTAGATAAAATTTTTTTCCGGGACATTTTCTCTGATTCTGTTGCGGCAACTTGCGGTCAACGATTATTGCCGTGTTTTGTCACGGACGCAATTGTTGCAAACTAATCTCTGCGGATTGAATAGAGTCTCGCAATCAGCGCAATTAATTGACGCTCCCGCGTTGTTTGCCTGATTTTCAACGGTCTCTTGGATCTAGCCGGGACATTTTGTACATAGCATGTAGATGTAGAAAATAAGTATGCACACGTGAGGCACGTATCTAATACTTTGTACAGTAAATCTCGAATTAGAATTGTAGTGAATAAATAACACGGAGGTTGGTCAGCGAAAAATGGTGATAGGGACATGTTCTTTTTGGAGCGATATGAATTAGGAATGGCTTCCTCACCCGAGAAAATTCAAGCAAGGACCTAACTTTCGAATAATTTAGCGCCAACGAGCTTTTGATAAATTAGGTGAACATGTGAACTTCACTCCGTCTTTTAGGAGAAGACAAGAAAATATGGTTGGAAAATTATTCACTTACATTGATAAAGTTGATTGTTAAAATTTTGAAAAATCAGTGAGACTAATTGTAAAATTCTGAAATAATTGGCACCTTAGATAATAATGTAGAGCACTCTTTGCAAAATTATGCGCGGCCAAGAATTACTCGTCTTGTTGAACTCGGCGCACGTACAGATCTCGAGAAGATCCGACCTTTTTCAGCGTGTCAGATTTCTTAATGTTCCTTCTTGACCGCCGATCGCACGGCATTTATACATGTAAAAGTGTATGTGGAGAAAAAAAAGTGTGTAAAACGAGAACACTCGCCTACGGTACGACTGCATGCTATCGCATCGGCTGCATTATCGTCTTACTTTTGTTCACAGCCAGCACATTCCTGATCGTTTCGCATGCACAAGAGCAAATAAGCTCGCTTGTTTCGCCGACTCGCCACTACGTTTCAAACCGTTTCGATCGGGGCGTCACTCTTTAACTTTTCGAGTTTATAGGGTGTCCCGCGACTCGCCGAGTTATTTTTCAATATTCCCGATTCTTCGACGAGTCCGGGAGTCGGTTATCTCTCTCGGTGAGAATTTTTCAACGAAAGCCTGTCGTACCGCGGCTTTTGAAATACTTCGGAAATTAAATTCTCCAGATGAAATTTCGATTGTGCATGTAAATTAATTGCGAGGCGGAATTTAATTATCTGCTGAAAAACGTTATCTTTATTATTATCAGTCGCTGAATATTTGTCGTAATTAAAACGGAACCGATCACAAATTTAATAAGAATTGCAAAATTAAGCAAATAATGGCACAATTAATACTCGAACGTTAAAAACGAATTATGCAAATTCCGTATCGAAAGGGATTTTCAAATCTTTTTTGTTTCAAAAATTACAATGAAAACTGCGTCGGATTCGTGCTGTACGTTAAAAAATTCGATACACGCTTGCTCGGTTGACCGGTTCTTCGCGTACCTGCCATTCGGTACGCGAACGTAAAGGAATCGCACGGATCAAGGACAAAACGCGCGACTCGAATGCCACGCCATGGTCGATTCTGATTCTAATGCTGAAAATTCTTTTATTTTCGGTGCTGACTTTTGGCGGCCGCCCACCTAGACTCCGAGCCCGGCATTAATCATAGTAAGTCAACGAATGAAACCGAGGCCCCGGCACAGGCGGCTGACAACGCCTGCGGCGCGGAGCTTCGCATTATTTTCCCCGCTTATCCACCCTCTACTAACAGACGCTTTTGATTTTTGACTCATCTTCAAGTGTGACGCACGTACCGAGAGAGATCAGTGCACACATCGCCGCGGTAACACTCGAGAATGATGTGTGATTTGCATACATATGTATATTATATAAATAGAATACGAAATATATCTGTTGCGATATCTAATTCTTCTTGCGAAAAAAAGATTCAAGGATTATTTGACGGAAAATTGAATTGGGTGTAATTTTTAGAGCATCGCGAGATGCGTTTGAGATCCAGTTTATGTAAAGATAACATGATCGAATTTGTACGCTAAACGTAGTTAATATTGATTCACATGTGATTGATAAAAATGTCTCTCGCGATTGTTTTGGAGGAAAAAAGACGAGCTAAAGGAGATCGTGTTAAACAACGATGATAAGATAACGTCCTCTCGGTACCTGCACTCTCTCGCGCATTAAATATGTAATTACATCGTTTCGCATTGTTCTCTTGAGAAATTAATCGTCGCAAAATCATTACAACTTTCGTCGTTCTCGTGGCTAACAAAGATTTCCCCTCTCCTCTTCTTTTTTCTGCTGCTTGCGGATCCAGGGATCTGGGAGTGTGACAGAAAAGTTTGCGGTAATTAACGTGAGGCAGGGCGGGAGAAAGTGGGAGGAAAGAATATTAACACTGGTGTGGTGTCGTGATAAGTGTTTTGCCCTCTGTAGCTTGCTTTGTCCTCGATTGTCGTCGTTTATTTATGTTTTCTCACCCTTTTCGACAAGCTGCAGTTTTTTTAACAAGTCGCAAGACTTAGACACTTGCTGTGCAAGGATGCGTGAAGAATTTCGTTGACGTAGGTGAAATAAATTCGGAATTTTGTTTATAATTTTGAACAAAAACTTGCCAGGACTGACGCGCTGACGTTCGAACGTAAGAAGACAAATGTTGATACATTCTGTACAGAGACACTTTCTTTCACTTCCGCGCTGTAGAAGCCTTGCGGTGATTTATTGTAGACTTTTGGACGAAAATTTTCACGCCAATTATATTCCTTTGAAATAAGTGGAATTAATTTACATTCCCGCGTTCCAATAATTGACGTTTCGAAACTAAGCTTCGATGTCTCTTTTACGCTTTCGTGTCTCCGACAGCTATTTTCAAATAGCGATTATTGTAACCGTTATCTATCTTGCTACTTTTTTTTCACCAGCTGTTGTACATATTTAACGTTATTTCATGTACTTAGCGTTAAAACGTACGTATCTATATTGCCATTTAATATTTTTGGCAAAATGTTTAGGGTATTAATTCATTAGTGTCATTTGCTTTTTCATTCGGACAGAACAGTAAGCTCTTTTACATCATTGCATTCTTAACGTGCGCGATAAGCCATTTACTTTACTCTTTAGCATCATTCTTATTCAGTGTTGAGAAACAAGCGTCTTCGGCGATGTTTATAATTGTCGGGTGTTTTTCGTCACAGGGCGAGCTCGAGCAGCAGCTTCTTCAGGCGAATCCAATTCTGGAGGCGTTTGGTAACGCGAAGACTGTCAAGAATGATAACTCGTCCCGTTTTGTAAGTTACACGAATAATTCTTTGGGAAAAAATCGAAGTTGCATTAAGATACATTCTTGAAATGCAATCCGCTTCCATTTCTAACGTGTGACGTACCTGTTGCAGGGTAAATTTATAAGAATAAATTTTGACGCGTCCGGCTACATAGCCGGCGCGAACATCGAGACGTATCTTTTGGAAAAGTCGAGAGCCATTCGACAGGCGAAAGACGAGAGGACCTTCCATATATTCTACCAGTTGCTGGCCGGAGCCTCGCCGGAACAAAAGAGTGAGTCGATGCGCGAAAAGCGCTTCTTCACGCGCGTTTGCCACTCGTTAAGCACGTTTGCCGTTTTTTTTTTTCCAGAGGAATTTATTCTGGAGGATCCGAAGCACTATCCCTTCTTGTCGAACGGGGCGCTGCCCGTGCCGGGCGTCGACGATTCCGCTGAATTCTTTTCCACGGTGAAGTCGATGCACATCATGGGAATGACGAACGAGGACTTCTCCTCCATCTTCCGTATCGTTTCCGCCGTAATGTTGTTCGGTTCGATGCAGTTCCGTCAGGAGCGGAATTCTGATCAAGCGACGTTACCCGACAACACCGTAGCGCAGAAGATCTCGCACCTGCTCGGCCTGAGCGTGACCGAGATGACGAAGGCCTTCCTGAAGCCGCGCATCAAGGTCGGCCGTGATTTCGTGACGAAGGCGCAGACGAAGGAGCAGGTGGAGTTCGCCGTGGAGGCGATCTCCAAGGCCTGCTACGAGAGAATGTTCCGCTGGCTGGTGAACAGGATCAACAGGTCCCTGGACAGGACGAAGCGGCAAGGCGCGAGCTTCATCGGCATACTCGACATGGCCGGCTTCGAGATATTCGAGCTCAACTCCTTCGAGCAGCTCTGCATCAATTACACGAACGAGAAGCTGCAGCAGCTGTTCAACCACACGATGTTCATCCTGGAGCAAGAGGAGTATCAGCGCGAAGGCATCGAATGGAAGTTCATAGATTTCGGGCTGGATCTGCAGCCGACGATCGATCTGATCGACAAGCCGATGGGCATCATGGCGCTCCTGGACGAGGAGTGCTGGTTCCCGAAGGCGACGGACAAGACCTTCGTCGAGAAGCTGGTCGGCGCCCACAGCGTCCATCCGAAGTTCATGAAGACCGACTTCCGCGGCGTGGCGGACTTCGCGATCATTCACTATGCCGGCAAGGTGGACTACTCCGCCGCCAAGTGGCTTATGAAAAACATGGACCCGTTGAACGAGAACGTCGTGAGCCTTCTGCAGGCCTCGCAGGATCCGTTTGTCTGTCACATCTGGAAGGACGCCGAGATCGTCGGTATGGCGCAGCAGGCGCTCACGGACACTCAGTTCGGCGCGAGGACGAGGAAGGGCATGTTCAGGACGGTCTCGCAGCTGTACAAGGAGCAGTTGGCGAAGCTGATGGTGACGCTGCGCAACACGAATCCAAACTTCGTCCGATGCATCATTCCGAATCACGAGAAAAGGGCCGGCAAGATCGACGCGCCGCTCGTGCTAGATCAGCTGCGGTGCAACGGGGTGTTGGAGGGTATTCGTATCTGCAGGCAAGGCTTTCCGAACAGAATTCCGTTCCAAGAGTTCAGGCAACGCTACGAACTGCTCACTCCGAACGCCATTCCGAAGGGATTCATGGACGGGAAGAAAGCTTGCGAGAAGATGGTGCGTATCTCTCGACGCTTTTGCGCGTCTCGACCGAGAGCGACTAATCAATAAGTTGTTTCATTGCAGATTCAAGCGTTGGAGCTGGACCCGAACCTTTATCGCGTCGGACAGTCGAAAATCTTCTTCCGCGCCGGAGTGCTGGCCCACCTCGAGGAGGAGAGGGATTACAAGATTACGGACATAATTGTCAATTTCCAGGCCTTCTGCCGCGGTTTCCTCGCCAGGCGCAACTATCAGAAGCGTCTGCAACAGCTGAACGCGATCCGCATCATACAGAGAAACTGCGCGGCCTACCTGAAGCTGCGCAACTGGCAATGGTGGCGGCTGTACACCAAGGTGAAGCCCCTGCTGGAGGTGACGAAGCAGGAGGAGAAGCTCACGCAGAAGGAGGACGAGCTGAAGCAGGTGCGCGACAAGCTGGAGCTGCAGCTGCACTCGGCTCAGGAGTACGAGCGCAAGTATCAGCAGGCGGTTCAGGAGAAAACCATGCTGGCCGAGCAGCTGCAGGCGGAGGTCGAGCTATGCGCGGAGGCCGAGGAGATGAGGGCCAGGCTGGCCGGGAGGAAGCAGGAGCTCGAGGAAATTCTGCACGAAATGGAAACGCGTATCGAGGAGGAGGAGGAGAGAATCAACGCGTTGAGCGCCGAGAGGAAAAGGCTGCAGCAAGTCATCAACGATCTGGAGGAGCAGTTGGAGGAGGAGGAAGCCGCCAGGCAGAAGCTGCAGCTCGAGAAGGTGCAATGCGACGCGAAGATCAAGAAGCTGGAGGAGGATCTCGCCCTCTCGGACGACATCAATCAAAAGTTGCTGAAGGAGAAGAAGATTCTCGAGGAGCGCGCCAACGATCTCTCGCAGACGTTGGCGGAGGAGGAGGAGAAGGCGAAGCACCTGTCGAAGCTGAAAGCCAAGCACGAAGCGACGATCGCCGATCTCGAGGAGCGACTCCTCAAGGACCATCAGCAGCGCCAGGAGGTGGACAGATCTAAGAGGAAAGTCGAGACCGAGGTTTCCGACTTGAAGGAACAACTGACCGAGAGGAAGACACAAGTCGAGGAGCTGCAGCTTCAACTTGGCAAGCGAGAGGAGGAACTCAACCAAGTCATGGCGAAGATGGACGAGGAGGGCGCCGCTAAGGCTCAAGCTCAGAAGGCGCTGAGGGAATTGGAGTCGCAATTGGCCGAGCTTCAGGAAGACCTGGAGGCCGAGAAGGCTGCTAGAGGCAAAGCGGAGAAGTTGAAGCGCGACCTGAACGAGGAGCTCGAGGCGCTGAAGAACGAACTGCTCGATTCTCTGGACACCACCGCGGCTCAGCAGGAGTTGAGGAGCAAGCGGGAGCAGGAGCTCGCGACGCTGAAGAAGAATCTCGAAGAGGAGACATCGTTGCACGAGACCACGCTCGCCGACATGCGTCACAAGCACACGCAGGAATTGACGGCTCTGAATGAACAGATGGACGCGTTGAAGAAGACGAAGGCGACTCTGGAGAAAGCGAAGGGATCGCTGGAGGCCGAGAATGCCGATTTGGCGACGGAACTGCGGTCGGTGAGCGCGAGCAGGCAAGAGTCCGATCGCCGTCGCAAGCAGGCGGAGCAGCAGTTGGCCGAAATAAACGCGAAACTCGCCGAAATAGAGAGGAACAAGCAGGAACTGGTCGAAAAGGTGACGAAATTGCAGCAAGAGGCGGAGAGCGTGATGCAACAGCTGGAAACCGCCGAGCTGAAAGCATCCGCGGCGCTGAAGGCGTCGGCCACGTGCGAGTCGCAGTTCACCGAGCTTCAGCAACAATTGGAGGAGGAAACGCGACAGAAATTGGCTCTCAGCTCGAAGTTGCGCGCGCTGGAGAGCGAGAAGGAGGGCCTGCACGATCAGCTCGAGGAGGAAGAGGAGGCGAAGCGTGCCCTGGATAAGCAAGTGCTGAGTCTGAACGTGCAATTGGCCGAGGCGAAGAAGCGCGGCGACGAGGAGGCGGAGGCGGCCGCCGTTCTCGAGGAGGCCCGGAAGCGCTGCACGAAGGACATCGAGGCCCTTCAGCGGCAGGTCGAGGAACTGCAGACGGCCAACGACAAGCTGGACAAGTCGAAGAAGAAGATCCAGGCGGAACTGGAGGACAGCATCATCGAGCTGGAGGCGCAGCGGGCGAAGGTGCTCGAGCTCGAGAAGAAGCAGAAGAACTTCGACAAGGTGCTGGCCGAGGAGAAGGCTGTGTCCGAGCAGTACGCCGAGCAGCGCGACATCGCGGAGAGGGAAGCGCGCGAGAAGGAAACGAGAGTGCTGTCGCTGACTCGCGAGCTGGACGAGCTCAACGAGAAAGTTGAGGAGCTGGAACGGGGCCGCAGGAGTCTGCAGTCGGAGCTGGACGAGCTGGTCAACAATCAAGGCACCGCCGACAAGAACGTTCACGAGCTGGAGAAGGCGAAACGCTTGCTGGAGTCGCAGCTGCAGGAGCAAAAGTCGCAGGTGGAGGAATTGGAGGACGAGCTGCAGCTGACGGAGGACGCCAAGCTGCGACTGGAGGTGAACATGCAGGCGCTGCGAACCCAATTCGAGCGCGATCTGCAGACGAAGGAGGAGCAAGCGGAAGAGAAGCGTCGGGGACTGTTGAAGCAGCTGCGCGATCTCGAGGCGGAGCTCGAGGACGAGAGGAAGCAGCGCGCCGCGGCTATCGCGGCGCGCAAGAAGATGGAGGCGGACTACAAGGACATCGAGCAACAGCTGGAGATGCACAGCAAGCTGAAGGAGGACGCGCTCAAGCAGCTGAAGAAGCTCCAGGCTCAGATCAAGGACTGCATCAGAGAGACGGAGGAAGCCAGGGCGGCCAGAGACGAGCTGGCGGCCGCCTCGAAAGAGACCGAGAGGAAAGTCAAGAGCCTGGAAGCCGATCTGCTGCAGCTGACGGAAGACTTCGCCAGCAGCGAGCGCGCCCGGCGAATCGCCGAGAACGAGAGGGACGAGCTGCAGGAAGAGGTGAACAACAATGCCAACAAGGGCACCTTGATGCTGGACGAGAAGCGCAGGCTCGAGGCGAGAATCGCCACACTGGAAGAGGAACTCGAGGAGGAGCAGTCGAACGCCGAGATCGTGATGGATCGCGCCAGGAAGGGTCAGATTATGATCGAGCAGTTGACGACGGATCTGGCGACCGAGCGGTCCACCACGCAGAAATTGGAGTCGCACAAGCTGCTGCTGGAGAGGCAGAACAAGGAGCTGAAGGCCAAGCTGACCGAACTGGAGACCGCGCAGCGCGCCAAGACCAAGGCCACGATACAGCAGCTCGAGTCGAAGATCAACAATCTCGACGAGCAGGTGGAGGCGGAGGCCAAGGAGAGATTCACCCAGCAGAAGATCAATCGCAAGCTGGAGAAGAAGCTGAAGGAGCTGAGCCTGCAGCTGGAGGACGAGAGACGGAACTCCGACCAGTACAAGGAACAGGCGGAGAAGGTGAACGTTAGGATGAAGGCGCTGAAGAGGCAGTTGGACGAGGCGGAGGAGGAGATCAGCAGGCACAAGACCATGAAACGGAAAGCGCAGAGGGAGATGGACGACATGATGGAATCTCACGAGGAGCTCACGCGGGAATTGGCGCATCTGAAGAATAAATTAAGGTAAATTTCACATTTTGTCATCATCGAAACATGAAGATAGATAGAAAAGTATTTTTTTTTTCTCAAATAATGACGAATTTCTCATAAAGAATCTTGAGAAATGTTATTGTTGAAGAATATTAAGTAGCGAGGGCGCGCCACTCTTCTCAATTGTTTACATATGTATGTACATCTTCTTTATGTTACGCTTTCTAGGCCGTACGTATCTGTAACCTTAGGCGAACGTAATGAGGCAGTATTAAAGTAGTGTTTTATCTTTGAAGGAAGTGATCAACTTCTGACATGTGTAGGTGTCAAGAGAGAAAAAACGATTGGTATCCTACCTGAGAGAGTTTTTTGCTAGGAAACAATCCCATTAGTGTCCCCAGTGTGCTACAGTGAGTTCAACGAGCTCTTTTCGTTAATTTGAAACCGCTAACCCTGAAAGTAATAACGCCGACTTGGACTGCTACCTTGTGTGATAACGATACACTTCACCCCCTTCGACCTCCCTTTGAATGCAGTTGTTTTGTGGATGTGTTCTTTTTATTTCTTATTGTTTCTTTTTTTATTTGATCCGCAGTGCATACTACCGGTCAATAGTTTGACAATGCGCTTTCTGTGAAGTCGGTTTTCCGATTTATAGCGAAAATATATTAATGAAATAATAAATATAAACTTGGACAAATTCTCTCCAGCGACCGCTCGATAAATTTTCCACTCGCTTCACATTTAATTCAAAATCGTACGTCATTCCATATTCCAGAGTGTTTAAAACCCAATCGGAATTTGACTTTTTAGATCGCACAGAGAATTTCAATTTAAAAAAAAATTAATATATTTAAGCTACTGGCCGATGATGTATATTTTCCTTTTTATTATTTATGCGCACGTATCTCGACAATGACAAATGCGTCGGTCTAATCAATGTAATGTTTGTTTAAAGGCGCGGTGGTCCTCCGATAAGCCTGAGCTCCACAAGGCTGAAACGCGGTTCTGTACAGACCGGCGGCTCGGGCGACGACTCGACGACGCAGGATGAGAGCATCGACGGCGAAGAGAACGCCAATTGAGTATCGGAGTCGGCCCAATGTGCTCTCGAACCTCTGTGAATTATGTATATACGTGCGTCGAGAGGGTGTTGGTTTTTTTTTTTTTTTTTGTTCGACGCGTCACGCGGACTAAACCGACGTCTCGCGTCGCGAGTACGAGACCTAGCTTACACGATCAAAATCAAAAGTCACCTCGACAATATCCCGTGGCGTTTCTGGGCCTTAAGATTACTGCGGAACAATAATCGTCTCGGCGGAATTTAGTTCATCAATACAACACGTCGATAATTTGAGAAATGTAGGCGTAAAAAAAAAAAAAAACAATAATCGAATAGAAGACTTTTGATACATTTTATATAGAACGAACGTAAACGGTGACCGCATTTTACGTATATATAAGAGTGTGTGAAAGAGAGAAAGAGAGAGAGAGAGAAAGAGGGTAAAATAAATTCTAGAAAAGAAAACTTGATCATGATGAAATTTATTAAGGAAACTTAAAATGTAAACTCGTACGAAAAAACGCGCGCGGGATCGTTTCACTTCGACGCAGTCTCTCGTTTGATTTCCTCGAGCTGTCGGGCCAGTCCGGGACTCGCGAGATCCAACGGGGTCTTGCGCTCCCTGTTGGTGATCGTCAAGTCCGCCCCGTGCGCCGCCAGCAGCTTCGCCTCTTCCACGCGGTCCTCATCGCAAGCGAGATGCAACGGCGTATTGCCGTATATGTCTCTCTGATCTGAAACAAACAAAAAAAATGGAACGCATGAAACAAATGCATAGAAAAAAAAAAAAAAAAAAAAA